CTTAGAAGTTAAGCTATCTATTTAAACTTTTTTTTATCATGACCTTTTTTTGTGCAATAAAGGCTGAATAATGACTTTCGCCCATCAGAGCAATGTTGAATCATGCTACTTTGGGAATTGTTTCTTGAAAACTCGGCTGATAAAAAATATTGAAAAAATGTATATGTACTTTCAGCATGTTTAAGTACAACATTTATTTTTTTCAGCGAGTGAATAAACCTCCTCAACAACAACGAAACCTCTTTAAGTGATTGGCTCGAGTTTAAAAAGCTTTTCTCCGCTATCATAGGGAATGATACGCGGTTAAGCAACATCGAAAAACTCTAACAGTTTGAGACCCACGTGCAGGGTCTAGCTGCTAAGATGTTGAAGACAATACAAGTGATCAACGCCAATCGAGGTCTTGATATTAAACAATACATTTATTATAAAAACAAAACTTTTATCAATTTTTTTTCTTGACAATGGTGGTTTAAAAAAATTTCCTTTAAGAATGTTTCTACAAATTTTCTATAGATAATCTTTTTTTTCAATAAAAAATTAAGGGGTCAGAAACAAAATAAACGAAAATCCTATATAAATTGCATTGGCTATGCTCCTCTCTTGTTTCCAGGCCCTTAATCATTTAATTTTAAAAACATGGCCACGTTATTAAGATGGCTTTTTTGCTTTTTTTTTTTTAATTCAATACTAGATTCGTAATCAGCGACCCCAAAAACTGTCAGAAAGATAAAAAGTTTCTATAATAAATACTTTTAGCCTATCTGAGAACAAATTAGGCTGATCGATCTGTGCCTATTTCCCCCTACCCCCCTCCCAGTAATGGGAGGCCTTCCATCATTCTTCCCTTCCTTCTCTCAAGTGCTGAGTGCACATAGTAGTGCCCTTAATAGGAGCCGGACGTATAGCACTTAAACATAAAAAAAAATATATNGAATTTTTTAAATTAAAAAATTTCATTATTTTTGAAAAATGGCCGCCATATTAAGTACGCAATTTTGTTTCTTTGGAAATCCAATTACAGATTTGTAATAAGCGACCTCAAAACCATATGAAATCATTCTAAACTTGTTTGTTCTTGTCGTCTTGTGCACTAAGCCATAAGGATGTTTCTATGAATTTTCTACTTTAACCCTTATTTTAGGCAAGTTACCGAGTGACGCCTATCATATGACTTTCACTAATCAAAAGTAGATAAAAAAGGAAATTATTAAAAAAAAAATTTTTTTTAAATCATGGCACACTTTTTTAAAAATCCATTTTGATTCTAAAAATCGCAATTTAAGGGTGAAAACTATTCCCAAAATTTTTTAAAAATTTTTATTTCAATCTATGTACTAAAATGCTTAAGAAACCGACCTTGTGTAGTATGTGTATTCTTCCATTTTTTACTAAAAAAAAATTATGATTTTCAATGTAAAGGAAAAAATTCAGATTTTGTGACCGTCCCTGGTGGACACGGTGTCGGTCAAAAAATCTGGAAAAACTAGGGAATGGTTTTTTTGATGAGGAGTACTATCAATTGCGCTATGTAAAATCAAAATCTACCGCTTGAGCGTTTGTGTTAACGTGGAATGTCCCATACATATACATATATTTATTTATTTCACAGAAATTATATACAGACGTCGCGTCATTTCCGGTATTCAGAGTAATATTGTTTTTTCACAAGACACCCTAACTCTCTCCACCAACCTCATAGGTACTTAAAAATTAACTATTAAATAATTTTTCTTATATACTTGCGTAGATCGCCTAATTCACAAATAAATGGACTTTATACATAATTATTACACCAACCACGGAAGTATTGCCCTCAAAAAGAAGTCCATTCACAGAACCAGTCAAGTAATTAGACTATTATCAAGTATGCTGTAAAACGTATACATTTTGATGAAAAAGTCTTGTAATTATTCGTATTTTATGTAGAATATCATAAAATTAAAAGAGTTCTCTGTTTTCAAGGTTAATGGTTTGAAAAGATGTAAGAAGGACAACAAAACTGTAATGTAACAAATCATAAAAGTTATATCAGAATCTTAAATAGTTATAAAATTAAAGATACATCTGTTAGAATATGAAAATATGACATTTACTGTGCTACATATATTCTATAAGTGCAAGATGATTTGTATATGTATTTTGTACAGCGATACAGTTAGAGTAGACATAACATGTCCGTTGCCATGAAGGTATGCTCTCGTCGGATCTCTCGGCATAATAAGAGAGTACTTTGTACTCCAATGTCATTTGAGTTATTATTATTAAATAAACCTGTTTATATATTAAGTGTAAATTTAAAGCGGCGTTGGCTTAGTCGTAAACGTGCTTGTTACAGATACAACGTTGCTCTACTGGTCGTAGGTTCGATTTCCGGTGAGTGTGGATCTTTTCAAAAACTGTTATCACCGGAAAAAGTTCGTATGCAAACAAATACTGCATGGTTTGCCCAGGAAATTACAAACTAATTATTTAAAATGTGGGATTAATTAGGAAAACGTAATGCATAATTAACCATCTAATACTGACAGATAAAGGGCCAAAAATATTTAGATCCTCTTGCAATACAAGCAATGTTGAGAAAAAACTTATTCTAAATACAGCGAAACAAAAACTGTTTCTGACAATAATATTTAGATAGTAAAATGTTCTAAGAAAAAGAATTTACGTTGATAATTTTACGGCTGACATAATCAACGTGCTTTTCAAATTTTTCATATTTTTGATCAACATTTTTTACAATTTTAATGTAATGAATATGAACAGGATCACTGAATATTTATTTTAACGTCTTAATTCTATATTTTCATACACCATGTTCATTTGAGGTTTACTACTCAGACGTACCTAAAAAAGACTTTTAATATACGAGTTGAACACGCGCAATAGTTGAGCTTCCATCATATCACTTTGTAGACTAGTAAAACTCAAAATTTATTATCCAAGCTCATAGTCTTCTCTTCCCATTGCGTATAAGACATATATATAGAATATTTTTCTTATTCACCAGTTGATGTATATCTAATAAAATGAAAATCATTGTAGAACGTCAGTTTGAGGACTTGTTTTAAGGTTCTAAATTAGGGAATCTTTTGAAATGCAAACAATGTTCAAAAATATTTGTACTAAATCTAAGAGAACAAACAATATCTCCGATAATTATATGTACAAATAACAAAATTCAAAGAAATAATATGATAGTAAAGTTGGTACGAATAAGACTCGTTTGTATAAAACTTGAATTTACAAGTTTATTTGAACCTTAATAACGTTTTGCCAACGGCATGGACTGTTCTTGCCTTGACCTCGCCCCTTCTAGGAGAAGCAAGTTATCAAACATTAAAATTACCATGAAAGTTATACAATATTGAGAGTGCACCCTTAAAACTGCATTGTAGGACTAAAAAATAAAAAAGGTGCAAAAAAATTAATTATCAAGGATTAAGCTTCAGTAAGCCAAGCCATGGAGATAATTGATTAAATATCACAAGATTCGTGCTACAATAAAAAACCGTTCAAAAACAAATAAGCTGATTGAACCAATAATTTCAAACTATCAACGTCCAACCTTAAAGAAAAGTTTAACAATGTCAAAAACAATTTAACTCTCACATTTGGAGTCATCATTTAAAACTTTATTGTAAAGACAAATCTTAGTTCAAGTAATGCTTGGTTTTCAAAATTATTATTAAAAATAAAGAATAAAGTTAAAAAATCATATATTACAAAAATATAGTAGACAGATAATGTACACGTAAAAATGTTTGATAATAATGTTTAATTGAGACTTAAAATTAAAGAAAAAACAATTTTTGCAAACATTAATGAACCTTCAAATTTTTAGAAACAAGAAAATTTCGCATTTCATTAAAGACGGAATTTTTACTCAGAAAAGTACAGATAAAGCAATCTATAATAAAATCGATTAAATACATTTAACAATAATATTCATAACTTTATCGTTAAAATTCATAAGTTTATTATCTTTACATCATATATTAATAAGTTTATCATCTTTACTTTTTTCCTTTTTTTTAAAAACGCATTATTTCTATATGTTTAGTTAAATAATCATTGAAAATTTATAACTTTTAATAATACATTTAAAAAACTTTGAAACAACTTTTTTAAAACAGAACATATTTTTTCAACTCAAATAAATTAAACTCATAAAAAGTAAGACGTTGGAAACAAAACTAGAAATAATAAGATGTCATTCATTATAAATATGCATAACCTTATAAATGCCCCTACAACATATAACCGCTTTTGGCAAAGCAGTTCATACTAATTTAAGGATTCAGAAAACACATTTATACCTAATCACGCAAAATAAGATTTAAACATAAGATAAGATAAGATTTTTTTTACATTACAAATTTTTTTTTTTTTTTTTGAGGAAGCAAAAAACATGTACACAGGAAATAAGCGATAAAAAATCTTAAATTTCATATTTTGAGGTCGATTTTTAGCTTAGAACGCAACATATCTATTGGGGAAAAAATTGGTTCCTTAAAAAATCAAAATTTCTTGAGTGTTTACCTAAGAGATATTTGATTAAAAAACTGATATTAACTATTGGGTATCGTTAAAAAGCAAGAAAACTAAAGTTAGCGGTAGTAAACGAACTAAAGTTGCAGTCATGTTCAACCGTTTTCTTATTAATATTACCTTCAATTGTAACAAGCTTAGATTTTCTTTTAAATTAGTGAAAATTTTTAGCATACAATCCAAGTTACTGTAAATAAAAGTTTTCAAATAATAAGGTACTTGTCTCAATACTAAATAAAGAACGAAAATAAGAAAGATAACTTTCTATGGTAAAAAGATGTATCAGGAATATTATAGACAGGGTGTTTAGTACTATTGAATTTTAATGACAAAATTATAATTATTCAGTGAAGATATCACTATCAGAGTCTAAGATTTATTACTTTGAAAATCATTAGCACATAATATAAGTAATATATGACAAAGCAATTCAAAAAACTTTAGTTTACCTCATCCAAAATATCTTTGTTTCTTTGTAAGAGCTCGGGAAGTTCATTCATTGTTTTCTCGAGATTTATTATACCACCAGCTTGATTGACAAAAACAGCCTTTTCTATAAGAGAGTGAGGAACTTCTGTTCCACTGACATCTTCGATGGCCGCTGGTAAGTTTAGGCTAGCAAGAGTTCTGCAAAAATACTTTTTGTCAAAAATCTTGGTTTCATTGCATACGAAATAAAAGAAAGAAGAAAAAAAAAACAAGGAATCCGTATACATGAGCAGCCTCAATATGTACATCTCAAAACAGAACTATTCTGTATCAAGTTTGAACTACAAATCATGATTTATTGTCAAACATTTTAAACATAATACAAGGCAAGCAATGTATTACAATTGCCGTTGATAGACTTGTTATTTATTATACAGAGATAGTGAGGCTTAAGGTACATTAGAACAGTTCTTTCATGCTCTTAGATTATCAGTTTAAATATAACTAACAGTTTACCTTTCTGACCATTAATTACTTTTTTTGTGGTTAACAGGACAAAGTTAATTTTTATAAACTGGATTTGGACCAGTTTCTAAAAATCTACCTTAAAACTTTTAGTGTAGTCAGAAAAAACCCACAGAAAGTGTAGATAGGATTTTTATTTTATTTTGCTAACAATTTTAGAAATAAATTTAAAAAATAATAATAATAACGTGAACTTGGATAAAACTGTCTTAGTAATGTGGAAAAGAGTTTACTATTTCGATTTTTTATTTAAAAGGGTAACAACCTGGCTATTTGATAGAGAAGGTGTTCAGTTTTTATTTGAAAAGAAAACCCTGTACTGCCAAGCCGATGGCCATCCCAAGCAGCTCATAGGGTGGCGGCGGTGGAGCTCTCGTGTGTACTGCGAGTGTAGTAGTAGTCAACCTACTAGTTTTTTTCTATGTCGCATAGCCAAATGTGCGTGACACACGCGGCGCTGCCTCTCACCCCAATACCGTGAGCACTCCCCCCTTTTCTCTGTGGCTTCGTCCCACGCTTACTTTCTTCCAATAGTCTCACTCGTTGGGATCGGTGCCGAAGACACATCTTGGTACCTTACGTACGGAGATACTCATCCGCTCCAGAGCTGTCGTCTCTCGTCATGCAGTTTTTCTGTCTTGCCTCAATACACTTTGCTGCTTGGGTCCAGTTCTCGGCTTGGTGAGCCATTATCCATTATTCCAAGATAAAACAAGCCTTCATTGATTTTTTTTTTTTTGTGGAAAGATACGTGCTCTTATATAGTATTGTTTGGACTTGTATTAGTTGAATACAGATTATTATTTTGTGTTTATAATCTCTCGAGTTAATTTCATAACGATAAGACCCTCGTTCATTGGTTTAATTGTTTTATTCCTACATCTCAAATTTAATACTAATACACATTTTGACTACTTGCAAACGCTCTCTACTAGAGACCCCAAAAGAAGTCTTAAGTGACTCAAAGAGTACACTAAACAAAAGATGATGTGCAGATGAACACTATTAAATTCGTTTAGCGACAACAAAGTGTTATTCTGTTGCTAAAAAAAACAAATTATATCTTGAATGACTTATAGCAAGAAAAAAATTGCATATTCATTCAGTAAACTGTTCATTTTATTAAAAGTTTTGACTTTTTTTTTGTAAGACGATTCTTATAAAATACTAAAAGCATATTCTATAGTGTAAAAGTCAGAAAGTACCTCACTTTTTTGTCTATAAAAGTTTAATATTGTTAAAAAAATACGATTTTATCCCCTAACGCTACATTAGATTTTTAGAGAATGACTTACTTTTATCGAGTCTACATTCGTTTTTGGAGAGTCTACAACACATTTGTGGGCCATTTATATATAATAAGAAGTATTTTTTACGTCCATACTTTATTAAACTTCATTTTTGATGATATTTATAGGTAATTAACGCCATTTTGGGTTCACCGTTCTGAATTTGACAACATGTCAAACGAATTAACAAAGTACTTCTAAGTACTGATTATTTGAATCCTAGAACTTTTATTTTGTATGTGATAAATTTTGGCCTTGAGATGGCAAAATGGACGTGGAAAGTCATTTTAAAATAAAGATGTTAAATTTCAAATTTCACTAAATAATACAGAAAATTATATCTAACTAATGTACAAGGCCGTGACCATTGAAAATTATTTATCTTTAATAATCAACAGTAAAAAAGGTATCAATTACTTTTTTTAGTGTATATCATGTTTTTTAGAATTACTTTTCTCTGACAGCCATAAAAAATCCTTTAATATTTTAAATGTCTATCATTCGTATGTTTTGTTTGTTAATTTATTACCATTTATACGGTAAGAAAAACTATTTATACGTATAGTTAGGTGACAACTTTGAGTTTTTAATCATAGAACGAACAAAATTTTTTTTAAATGTTGTTACTCTTTCTTATTCGAAACCAAAGTCGTTCCTAAATTAAAGTTGTAAGTATTATACGACAGTCGAATCTAACCATGTGGTACGTGGCTCAAAATCGCTGTTATATTATCAAAAAAAAAAAAAATTCATAAAAAACTGATGGATTTCTTTATACGCTCCATCATTGTGTTTTCTAGGAAACAGAGTCCATTGCTTAGTGATTTATAAGTGCCAAACTAAAACCTTAATTAGTATAGCGCTACACTTTAATTTTCTGTGGAGTACCAATACTTGTAAAGCGTAGGATTTATGTTAATAACAAAGTAATAATTTAGAACTATGATCAAACAGCGAAGTTTAAAATTAAGTATTAGTTTAGAATGATAATAAGTGTACATCTACAAGAGAAATAATCAGTAAATAATAACAACATCAAGATTGTTTAATGTAACGTACTAATATATATGAATATACATGTACATATGTTTCTAAAAATAGATTTATGTGGATTTCACGTGCTTTTAAGATGTATACTAATAACATTAGAAAGATATACAAACTGTCCACGTAATCCTCCACACACACTCTCTTTTTCTCTCTCTATCTATCTTTCTGATTTATATTGAAAATTACTAAGTACCAAATAGTTATAAATATTTAATCTGAGAGTAGTTGCAAGCATGAAACTAAACTACAAAACTTCAATTGTCCATAATAAGTAAAACTAAACCCGTTACAACATACAACGTAAGAAAAATTGGTAAAAGAGCATGGTTTTCGGCTCTCACTGCTTGCTTAACTTATTTATTTAGTGTTAAACCAAAAAACAAACACACTTACACACATATAGAAGAAGTGATGCAGTGCGTTTTGCGTACTTGAGTGCACTGTCGTATCAATCCTAGGCTAGGAGAGTTTACTATAAATCGTTTTACAAAATACGTTATAATAATTATAAATACAAACAAGCTTTAAGAGTCTCTTATATGAAAACACATTTTCTGAGCTGTACTGTCAACAACATACATAATAGTGTATAATTTAAAACAAAATAAGGACTAACAATAAAAATAGAAATAAAAACATATATTTTAATTAATAAAATACCTAATATTACTACAAAAAAGGAAATTGATAAGAATGTATACATTTCTGTAATTGTGTTGATTAATATTTAAATATATTATTTATTACATCAATGTAAGTACATACATACAACCTATATCATGTAAGGCTTTAATAAAGATTGAATTAAAAAATCGTAATACGAAAATGATATAAATTTTGCATAATATACACTAAAATTCTTCTTTACATGAATTCTAACACACATTTAAATAATTAAAGAATATTTTATATTTTAATGACTAACAGTGTGAATTATACACATGTATAGATAATCTACATGCTAGAAAATTTGTACACAAGATCCATAATTCTTATGGATACAGACTTTATTCACATCAATAATTCAATAATAAGCACCCATTAATTAAGGCTTGTTAATTTGAACGCTAATGTATACCATTCAAAATAAACTATTGAAGGATTCTGTTTTTGTTTAGTAATAAGAAAAGTCTCACAGAGATTCAAAACAGTGGAGCTCTCAACAAGAAATAATGTGTTGCATAAATCATCAGTTATAAGGTCATATCCTGTTAACTGTAAGTAACACAAATGGCATTTAATGGCCTAAACTTTTATCGGGTTATAAGAAAATACTTTGATCATTGCTCCGAATCCAATGCTAGACGATAAGCAAAACTTTTTCCACTACAATAAATGTGAGTTCAAAGAACAAACAAAGCATGTGTTTTATGATTAAAAAACGACATGAAACAGAACAAGTGACCAAATTTTTAGATTATAAATAGCCGGTAGCAGATTTTTATTTTTTCATAAAAAAATGAAAGTCAAGAAAATCATATCCAGATAAATATTACATAAAAAATCGCTATGCAAACAAAAAATATGCAAAAAAGCATGCAATACGCAATATTAACTAACCACGGATCCCTCTACGACAGACACTATTAACAACAGACGTCTAATACGAAGATAAATAGAAAGTGCCCGTTATAGCGGAAAAAGAGTAATAGACCAAATTTATGATGGTTTATGTTCCCTTTCATAGTTTTGAGTACATGCTTTTCCGAAATGAAAGACAAGATGGGTGAACTATGTAACTAATATAACAAAAAATCCACTTCAATATTATTGGACTTTAAGACCGAAAAGTCCGATATACAGGAAAAAAAGTGATTTCTCGAATAATACCATCACATGTACTACTTGTGAAACTACCATCTGCAGAGAAATCCAGAATTCTGTTTTATTTTATGAAAAGTAGAGATACACAAAAAAAATCTAATATCTATGTAAAATATGTCAGTAGTGGTACACTAAGAAAAGAATTTGTTTACTATTAACGTTCAAGTATGTTGACAGAAAATCAGTTTACACGTTCTTTATAACTTGTTTAATTTTAACTGACACAGACGGCATATTAATAGTAAATATGCCATATTTACGTTAAACCTACGCCACGTTACATGGCACCACGCGGGATACGTATTATACGTAAGTTAATAGTTCACATATGAAGTTAATTATTAACAAGTCCTCCTCTTAATGTATAGACAACCGGCACCATAAGTTATGTAACGAAACGGTAAATGTACTGGACCTAGAAAATTTTTATAGATTATCGACACTGTTAACAAAAAAAGCAAAAAAACTAATAAACAAAAAGAGGCAAAAATTACTATTTTCTCCTGATAG